TTCCTGTCTATGTACCTTTCACTTGTCCCTGTTGAATTACAGTCTCTTTTTGTTTCCCCAATTCTAGCACCCATCCACACCATTACAACTTTATCCTGTCCTCTGACATGCTTGCAGGTGCACTTAGCTTGGTTATCATCTCCAAATTGTAATAAGCATACTCATCAAGGTCATTAATGAAAACGTTGTGTATCATCAGGTCATGGACAAACACTTGTGCAACTCCAGAATCACCATGAAACTTGTCTACAAATGACTCATGTTTAATCTCCAAATACAGCTTTCCAAACAGCTTTATAAATCCCCTTGCATTGCTTCAACTATTCTGTACTTCCCTAGCTTGCTTATGTGGTCTTCCTGTGATATAATATTAAAAACTTTGTTAAAATTAAGATATATTGTGTGTATACTTTTCCCTAACCACAAACCCCGCTATCATCTTCTGGAAATTAATGAATTGTTTGACTTGGTTTTTCTCTAACTAATCCTCACTGGCTCTTGGCTCATCTTCTTGTTTTCTTTAATGTATTTACAGTTAGGTTGTTGGCTTCTTTCTTCCAGTAATTTGCCTTCCTCTCCCTTTTCTAGTGATAGACATTTTGTTTGCCCTTCTCCTGTCATTTACATATGTTGTTTTCTGTGTTTTCTGTGAATAATTCCTTCCTACAATCTTGCCTGTACTTTTTGTACTTTTTATGTGCTTTTTGTCAGACGTTGTAATTTGTTGCATCTAGACAAGCAGAGACATTGTATGACTTGAAACATGTCGTTGAATCAATTTTGTATGACTTTAAGTAACCTTAATGGAGAAGGCATCACAAAGCTGAATTTCCAGGATCATGTGATTTTTTTTATATTATTATTATTATTATTTTTAATATACATTGGCTGAAACAGAAACATTTAATAAAAACATAATTTTAAGCCACAAATGTCCAGGTTATGCTCGAGCATTGCTAAGGCTCTTCAAGTACTCTGGTAGAGCTTGGTTCTTATAGTGTCTGAAACAAGGAAGGTAATGACTGTTCCCAGGAAAATGCAGAAGCACAAAAGAAAACTTCCTCCAATGTTTTTCTTCAAATATTTCATTAATTTCTAGAGGAAAGAAAAAAAAATCCCGTAAACTGTAATGAAGCATTGCTCTTTGGTCAATGTAGGTTGCGATTTCACCCCCAATGTTACTTTTATAGTTTCCAAACTTGTTCTTGGCCACTCTCCAAATATTTATAGCTCTCATATAATGCCTCTTTATAAGTGTTCTTGAGCAAATAGCCAGTCTTGTAAACTCTTGCACATGTGCTGAACTCTGCTACGTGAGGTAGTTAAGCATGCAAGTGTTAGCAACAGCAGAGTCCCAACATAAGAAGCCTACAACTTAAATCACTCTGACAGACCAAAGCACCTGCTGGAAGTTTCACAGACGTACATGGATATCTGTGCAGATTTAGAATCTTTACAAGGCAAAAGGAAAATGAGATAATGCCAGGCAGTGTAGAAGTCCAGCATAAAGCTGGGAGACTGCACAGAGTGACTTGGCAAATTAGATTCTAGGGTTCCTTGTTAGATGGATGTTTCTTTTGTTTTGTTTGTTTGTTTGTTTTTGTTTTTTTTTTTTTTTTTTTTTAGTGGTCTAAAGTAAGCTTGTCCTCTTTTGGCCATATGAAACACTCAGAAAACAGCAACCTCCATTTCTGTAAAACCCCTGGGGAATATGAAAGTGACTTTCAGGATAGTCAGAGCTGTAAAAATAAGAAAAAACAATTATTAGATTAAATGCATTTTTCTTTCTTGTACAATTGTAACATTACAAAATTGAAATGTTTTCAGCCAACTTGGTAGCTAAAAAATTGTGAAAATTTTCTTTCTGTGAAGGTTTTGAGAAAAGGCAGCTGGCCACTTCAGCTCCATCAGCTGAGAAGAGTGGAGCTGGGTGTCTGGGCTCTGCCTCTCTCAGAGGACTCAGTGGTGAAGCCACTGCTGCTTTCAGCACTGAAGCATCAGGTCCATGCAGCTAATTGTGTCTCCTCTGTTTGGTGAGATCTGATGTTTCCCGGTGTACATGCCATGTGGTTCACCACCCTGGGAACCTCCTTCTCTACTGCACCTTCCCAGTCATGTTCCCACCCTACCCCTTCGTGTCCTTGCCTGCTGCAGTCCTCCCTCCCTATCTCTTGGCTTTCCTCCTCCCGGCCTTCCCCAGCTCCTTTTTGTAGGCTGCCTTGTCTGTGGGCACGGGTGTGAAATGCTCCCCAGCTGCAGGATGGGAAGCAGAACAGGTATCCCCAGCTAGGCTGAGCAGGGGAGCCTCTGAGCCAGCCGGAGACCTTCTTTCACTACCTGTCAGCCTGTCAACCTGTCAGCCGCGCTGCCACTCAGCTGCTAGCACACCATCTCCAGACCAGATGTTGTGCAGGCCTGGTTTAATTTGGTCTGAGCTGTGGTGCAAGCTTTATTTTTGTGTCTATTTTTCAAGTGCTTTCCCTTCTTGCTCTGTAATTTTAATGTTTCAATTTCTATTTTAACCCTTAATCTACTGGCAGCTATGCTGAGTGTACCCTGAAGCCTGATGTCAGTACTCTTACCATACTGTTTTCCTGTCTATCAGAAAACGTATGTGCTGCTCTTTCCTTTCTGTTAGTTTAATGCCAGTGTATAATGAATTTACAGCCTTTACTTTGAAAAAGATGTGTCAGAGCAGAAGCAATTACTGCAAATTTTCAAAAGCATCTTACTTGCATAGAATACTAAGTCTCCCTTGGATACCCAGGGACTTGAAGGAATTTAGGTGAGAAAAGGGAGTGAGCTACTTAAGTCAAAAACCTTCAAGGTATGTGAATAACTTATGACCAAACTGACAATGTCAAAGTGTTACAGGTATTTAAAACCTGCGTCTTGCTTGTCTTCAAAAGTTCCAGCAGATTTTTTTGATCCCACTAGGCACTCACTTTTAGGTACCATCCCTCATTTTTAAACACTTCAGTTGGAAATGAGCCCAGGATACTTTTGAAAATGTTTTCCTTACACATTTTTTGCCCAGTGTTTGAAGCAGGACAGTTTTTTTTTCCCCAGTTTGTGGCCTCCACAGATGTTTAAAATTTCTTTTAGCAGGTAGAAGACTGACAAGTCTGATAACAGCAGGTTCTAACCTAATTATTAAATGTTAACCTCTCGAGGTTAAATAATCTCTTCTGGTGTCATTAAAAATGCCCCAGGAGTCCTGATATACCCTCCTCACATTTGCAACACATGTTTGAGGAGAAAAATAGTGCAGTTCTTCCCATTCCAGCCACCATGTGCAGACCAACCAGCCAGACAAGAAGCCTTTGTACCATTAGCTCATTTCTTCTTTGTGTCCTGAGAGCACCCTGCTGTCAGACAAACTCTCTGAACCATCTGCTGTTCACAGGGGACCGAAGGTACAAGAGTACAAGAGGGCGTATTGTGAAACAGTAAAGCAACCTCCATCTAGTACAGAAAATCAGGGCCATTTTCAGTCCTGCTGCCAGCGATCCCATACCAAGTCTTGTGCTGTATCTCTGAATGGTTGATCCCCTTCTGAGACTTTTGAAGTGCTGCTCCTTGTGATGCTAAGAGGCATTACAAATGCTTGGTCTTTATGTCTCTTGAGCCATTTACTATGTTCAGATCTGTGTCTCTCTCAGACATGACCATTCTAGCCTATTAATCTCCCCTTCTCCCCTCCCTCCCCATCCCAGTGATATGTGTGCAGACTGACATTTAATGGTACGTTCACCCAGAAGAACAGATGAGATGTCTGGAGCAGTTACAGGGAGAGATATTTTGATCTCTAATAGCAGTTGGGATATTGGGAACGGATGACGCATCCATCAGCTCAGTCAAATTGCTGGATTTTCCTGATGCAGTACAGACTTCTATTACAGCCTCATTGATAGTGTTCAGTAATGTCTCAATGAAGTGCACCATGTACAATAATTGATGTGTGACCTTTCTGTAGTGAAAAAAATGAAATCTGTGAACAAATCCAACTGTGCTGGGCCACACACCAGGGTTTGTGCCATAGCTCCACTGTCTCTAATTTCTCTTGGGCATGCAAAGAGGGGTCTCTGTGGTAGCTAGGCAGGAAAGTCTTGTGGCTGTGCTGTCCTCTTCATGAGTTTGAAAAATTAACTCTCTCTCGTATGGAAACACTTCTTAACAGATTCAGATCCTGCTGCAGCATTTTGGTTTACTCCAAGCTGCTTCCCCACCGTGCAGTGGCATCACTGCCCTCCTCCTACCATCACAGAAGCAGGACAAAGTTGGCAGAAGAAGGCTTCATTCCACCATATTCCTCATGCAGGGCTGAGTGCACGATACTATCAGCCAGGCCTTTGTGAGCATGCTGTGGCTGACCAGTTTATTCTCATTCACCTTGCTTCTCTACTAAACACATAAAGCATGCATCTCCAGCTTCTGAATTGGCAGGGCATATATTAGCCTTGACACGCTGCAAAGATTGGCTTGAATTCCTTCACTGGGATTTTCTCCTTGCTGCTATTTTTATCAGGGGTGGCTCTTGCCTGGTTTTCACTCAAAAAGAGCGTTGTAAATTTCAGACATCATAGCTGAGATGAGGACTGTAACAGAAACATGCTTGTCGACCAAATGTTCATGAGATTGGAAGTCAGTGCAAAAAGAACTGCAGAAGTGTTGTTTGGCTGTCTGACAGAGAAACTGATCATTTTTTACTGTTGCAGCAAAATTACCATATAAGGTTACTTTGAAGTTGTGTATTACATCTGACCTTCTATTTATAATATTATAAATAATAAGGAGATAGGAAGAGGAAAGCTAGAGGGTGGGGATAGAGTATCCAGGCTGTCTCTAATAATGTGTTTTATTATGTTTCTTATTGCTTTTGAAAGAGGAATCAAGTGAGTTTCTTTTTAGAGAAAGACAAGAAAATACTTTCTTCTGAAGTACCTAGGGCCAGGATCAAATTCTTTTCACAGGCACACCATTTCCCTTGTCTTCAACAGGAGTTCTCTTGCATCTGAAGACAGCCCCTAGGCTCTACAAGTTTGATAACTTCCCAGTCAATGAGTGAATGTTCCTCTCTCAATTTTTATCATTCACTGACAAATTCTCTAGACACATCCTTTGTTAATCTGGAAGCCTTAAGAGAAAGCACCCCTCTCCCTGCTCAGGTATGTAAAAGTGAGATACATCTATGATATTTTTTTTTTAATATATGGAAGATTTTGATAAAGACATAAGAGATTTGCTGCCTACGGCTTTATTTGTATAGTTTTCTTAGCTTACCTGAGAAGTACAAAACTCAAGAGTATACAGCTGTGATTTTGCTCCTGGATCTGTCTGTACACGGAGAATCAGTATACTGGTGTTCTCAGCTCTGTAACTCCATGATTTGTAAGTGTCCCCCCACCCCCCTTTACCTTCTAGCTGTCTGTTACCTATTCATCTCTGAATAATCACTAGTAACATCCGGAGCCTTTAATTTTCAGTGAGGTAGCAGTGAGGTAGTGCCAATATAGTGTTTATCTCAGTCAGTAGCTTTAAGGCTTCTTTGACATCATGGATTTCTCTTCCAGGACCAGTTGTGCGAAATTAAAGAAAGGATCCAATTAGAGGCTGGGGGCCTTCTTTATCACCCTGATACCTTCAACCAGACCACAGACCCCCAAAATCATCTGACATTAACATGGCACCAGAGGCTTGCCTCTAGCTGCAGGTAACACTGGACCTGTTTTGACAGTGCTGCAGTTTGTCTTGGTTTGTACCCTACAGCTATGCCTTGGTGGATTTACACGTGGACTGTTCCTCTGTCCCACCAGACATTACAGTAGAAACTGCTCTTTAAATACTCTGAACAATAACTCCTTCCCTACAGGCTACAAAGTCCACGTTCTCCTTGAACTGAAGGGAGAAAAAAAAAATAGTCCTCACAACTCAGAGTTCAAGAGTGTGAATCATGAATGAAACCATACCTAAATCTTAGAAAGCAGTAAGATTTAAGATGCACCTTTGCTTTTCATATATGTTTCTTAAAAGGTTTCCTCCTCAAACCGTTGCACATATGAGGTGTGGAATTCTTCCTGTGCACATACAAGGTCCCTAGTTTGTATGTCATGCAGCCCATAAGGTCTGAAGGTGACTGACAACATGGGTGTTGTTTTGTGATGTCTCTGAATACAAGATGCTTGTTGTCTCATTAATACCGTGTTACGTTCATGTCCTATATAATTCTGTACAAGTCTGTACTACTGTGGGGTTGAAGGCTTACCCTAGTTTGCCAGTTTCCCTGGAATAATGTTATTGTCAATGTGCTTTATTACCTCCAAAACTTTGCCATTATTTCCTAGCTGGGGGATCCTTTCTGCTTCTCTTGCTACTCATATGAGAGTAAAATATGAATATTGAAGTACACAAAGGGCATTTTAGCCTTAAAAGTTAGAGAAAAAAAAAAAGAGTTGGAAAACATTTGAATTTTATTATAAGAGATGTGAGTTTTTGCCAATTTCTTGTTCATATTCATAAGGTATAAAGTCTGAGCAATACATGAAAAATGTAAGTGTTCATGTAACAAGAAACTGCAAGCAGACAGTCATAGTTGAGAATATGAATAAGAATCCCAGTAGAGTGTTTCCATTTCTGAGTATTAACTCAGACGGTAAGTTACTTCCAGTGGAAGATGCTGCAAACTGAAGTTTTCCATTTTTTCTGAAGAAACAGACACAACATTGTCAGTGACAAAATAAACCTCCCACAGAATTTTCTTTCAGGCAGTCTTCACCAGCTGTAAAAAAAAAATAAATAGACATGGAGCTGAGATCTCATTGGCTCGTCAGGACCTTCTCCTACTACTTCTGACAGTAGTGTCAATTTTGATTCTAGATTCAAAGAGCTGGAGAAAACATTTATTGCAAATTGGCATATTAACAGCTTACCATTAACACCCAGCAATGGCCCATCTACTGCAGAAACTAGAATGAGAGCCTGGTCATGCCTGACTTGTTCCACAAACATGCATCTAATCAGAGACTTCTCTTACAATGATGATTTTGTCAAGGATGATTACAGGTCTCAGACAAAATATCACATGGAACTGTGAAGACCCCCACTGTGAATATTTTGGTACTTGCTTCAAAGCAATTGTCATTCTTTTGTGGTCTCCAGTAACAGCTAGCATCAGTGTCTTCACCAAAAGTTAAAACACTTATAAAAATAGCTAATTACACAAACTAATACCTTTAAGAGAATTTTCTTTGTAAGCTAAGCAAGCAGGAAGTTACTTAGGGCCTAAATCAGGAACACTGTTTTTCTTTAGAAAGTCATCCCCTGAGTAAGATGACAGTGTGTATTTTTATTATTCTGAGATATGACTAATTCCTTTCTACATCCTTCTTTGCCTCAGTCTTGTTGAGGTCAGAAAATATACAAATTTTGCCTTTTATCAGTCTGACAGTTATTACCTTTTTATTTCCTCAGGTATCTTCTTGTTCGTCTGCTAGAAGATAGAACGAAAAAGGAGCTCCTGACCTGTGTGGAATCATTCAGTATTTTGCAGGCTCCTATCTTCATGGCTGCAAGGACTAACAAATGCCTATTTAAAAACATTTATTTTTCATTGTCGTAGAGGTAAAAATCACCCACACAATGCAGATATTACACACAACAGTGATTCTGGTAAAAGATAGGTATCAACTAGAAGCAGCTCGATGAGTTTCTTGCTCAGAGTTAGTTTATTTGAATACTGCCAACAAGACTATTATCAGTTTCATTTCTCTGAATGAGGCCTATTTAGCTTGTATATCATTTTTAGAGGTGTGGGAAAGGGTTGCCCTTATAATTGGTTCATGTCCAGCCATGCATTTCACACATCGTCAGATGGCTTGTTCTGCAAGTACTTCTTCAAAGGACACACCTTCAGCTATTCCATTTGCCTGTGCCTCTGAAGTATGACACCCTTAGAAGAAATATGAGATGGCTTCAAAAATATTAGGGTTTCCCTACCTGGAAAAGATGATAAGTCATATTCTGCAAAGATAATATGTCCCTTCATACTGGCACAGATTGATCTTTGTAAAGCTAGCTATTTTCCTTCCAAGTTTGGGTTTTAAATTTCTCTCAGCTTTGTTGAGAACCATTTACTCATCTGTCTCTCACACATATACAAGAAATGTCATACATTTGATGCCTACCAATGCCAAAAACTTTCAGAGGCAGTCATCTTGTGGGTGCAATGAAATATCAACTAGACATCTCAAGCTATTCTCCAAATATAAATATGTGTCTGTAAATTGCTCCTAGAGGCAGATGGGGCACGAATTAAAATTCGTACAGATCTTATTAAAAGAAAAAAAATCTCTTTGTAGGCCTATAACAAAAGCATTTTGATGACTTACAAAATAAATCAGGGGAGTTATCTTTTCACAGGAAGTGCCGATCTAACTAAATATTTTTAATGATTAAGAGAAACCCTTTTTACTCTACTAATGGAAAAGTTCTGTGCTGAGGCACCAATGACATTGATTTATGAATAACTAGATATAAAAGAGCAAAATAATATTGAGCTTTCAAATGTGAAGAAGTATCTTAAGAACAACCTGCAGGTTTCTTGGACATTTTTACAGGTTAACACTAGACAGGGTCTTTATATGTAACCCAGAGCAACATTTTTGAATCATATCAAAGGAAGAGATCCGCTTTCTCAAGATTCAAATGCTCCAAAGTAATGCATACAGCCTGGTCTCATCAATGCAAAGATGTGGACACTTTCAAAGAATAATTATTGCATGTATCTGAGACTCCTGTCAGAGAGTGGAATGAGGCAAATGCCTTTTCTTGAAAGCAGGAATTCTGAAAAGTTAAGCTGGATGCCTAAGTAGTTGTACTTCTAGTCTTTGATGGACTAATAGGGAAAATGGTGCACCAACCAGAACATGGGAAAAGGCTGAGGCCTGCAACATCTGGCATTGGAATGGGCTGCCCAGGGAAGTGGTGGAGTCACCATCCCTGGAAGTCTTTAAAAGACGTTTAGATGTAGAGCTTAGGGATATGGTTTATTGGGGACTGTTAGCGTTAGGTCAGAGGTTGGACTCGATGATCTTGAGGTCTCTTCCAACCTAGAAATTCTGTGATTTTGTGATCTAAGTTTTACTGGAGAGGATGGAGGTGAGAGGATTGGAGAAGGGGGAAAGGGTGGGGCTAGGGCCCTGTGCAGTGGGAAGTGGGCTGGGAAGCTAGGAGAGCTCGTTATCAAGACATTCCAGGGGGGGGGAAAAAAAAAAAGCAGAGAGGATTATTCCCCTCTAGGGAAACTGAGCTGTGTGTATGAGCTGGTTTATATATGTATGTTGTCTTCTCAGGAACATGGGCAGCCCAGAGCTATCAAGGGCTGCCCTGAATATTGATCTGAGAGCACCCAGTCTAGACAGTCCCAGCATGAGATCCTCTGGATCCCCTCTGCTCCTCTCTACAACAAAAGGAGAATACAATGGGAAAATGTGGTGCTGGAAGCAAGTTACCATATAGCTAAGACTGCAGAGCTTCAAGTCTTCAATCAAGTAAGGACAACCTCAGGAATGATGCTGTATATCAGTTGGGACAGGCCTTGTGTCCTGCTCTCAGTGGATAAGAACAATTCTACCATGTTTTCACAAGTCTTTGAGAGGATATTGGTACTAGGTGATATGGATGGTACCCAGTGTGTAAGGCAAAAAATTTATCACAGGCATTTTCTTCTTGTGTGAATTTTGAGAGAGAGTTCTAAGGATATGTCCTCAATTAATTGTCCTGTTTACCTTCACAAAGTTTTCATTATCTGACTTCCCTACTTTGGCGGTGCTTGGTGGTCCAAGCCTGACTTTGTGTGTCAAAGCTGAGGGACATGGAAGATTGCCTCACCTCTTACTTATGCTGTGCATCCCAACCATGTCCTGCCTGCAGATGTGTGTGTGTCAGCTGGCTGTGCAACATGCATCTTGTACGTTCTGGTTTCCTGTGGAGGGGAGCTTTGTTGCGTGGATGGTCAGAGAGCCGTGATGCAGATATCTCCCCACCAGGATACCCAGAGAAGCCAGACTGTCACAGTGCTGCCAAGTTAACTTGCACTGCCTGTCAGGAAGATCCACGTACCTTCTGGGTGCAGGGGTTGCACTTCCAAATTTCAGCTCCCATTCACAGCTTCTCTGCAGATCTACTGTAGAAAATACATCCACAGGCATCAAGTGAGAAATTAACATTGACATTTTGACTCAGAAATGATACCTCAATCAGTATCAGTGGCCATTGCACTAGACATTCATACATAAGGAAACCTTTCCACACAGACTCTGAGTATGTGGCAGGACTTTTCATGTGGCTCAGGAAAGTAAGTATCTAGCTAAGGTTTCTGGCTCAAGAGATTAGGACATCTCTATAAGCTAAGTTTCTGGCCTCAGTCATAATGGATCCTCACACAGTTGACAGGTCTCTAGGTGGATGCCTGACTGGTTTAGTTGGTGAGTCAAAAGCAACTGGTTTTGATGACAATTTCTTTATTTCCTAACAGGCTAGAAAAGTTTGTTCAACGTAACCCAAAGGTTAAAAACAGTTTGGGTCAATGTTAAATTATTAGGAACCCAAATTTCACTGTAAAATCTCTAGAAGACAAAGATCTGCTTTCTTTCTTCTTGGTCTTTGCATTGATTACAGTGGCTTTCAATTAAGGTCCCAGGTGAATTTTTTGTTAACACTTAGTGCATGCTGAGTAAATACTTTCAGTGCAAAAGGTTAAAGAGCTGGTAACTCAAAACATTGAAGCTCTTGTTTTTCTCTGAATCAAAAAGGAACACCAGCTTCTTCAGACAGCACTGCTGGATTTGAGCTGTGGTTTTGGGGAGTCTGGGTACAGAAGATGCAAACCTTCCCAGGCTGAATTGTTACATCTCCTATTCACCCACAATAAACTGTTTTGTTGTGTTTCTTTGTTTTTGGTGTGTGTGTGTGTGCTGTTTTCCTAAAGCCGGTTAATGCTGGCCGTGTCTCTGTCTGGCTAAAGGTGCTCTCTATGGCACCACATGCCAAGTACCTTTCAGCCTGGCTTTTTTTAGTGCCAGTAGCAGCAGCATTGCTGATGGACACATCAGCTGGTGTGAATACCCTCAGCACCCCAGCTTGGCTGTTGCAGCCAAACTCATGGTGCAAAGCCTTCAACATTTTCATCCACCTCAGGTTAAAGCTACACTAAAGTCATTTATTACTGCCAATTGTAGTGTAGGTATATCCCAAAGTTTCCAAACATATGCCACCCTGTATTCTTTTTGCTTGTTCCATAACAGTATTTCACTGTAAATGTGTAATGCTTCCCCTCCTCCCTTTTTATATAACCTGTTCTTCAGTTGCGCTAATCTCCAAAGACTCTGAATTTAAAGAGCAGCCGCATTGATTTACCATCTAGATCAAGGTAGAGGGGAAAAAAAAAAAAAAAGTCTGGAAGCTAATGTAGATTGGATTGAACAGTTATGTGAAAAATGCACAAATAGTTAACATTAAAATGTGAAGAGCAAATTAATGGCATAATGTCAGAGTCACAGAATCACTGGTGGTGCAGCTAGAAAGGTTGAAAATAAATAAATCCTTACGGAGTGTAGTCTGTTTCATTTTGGTCTTGCATGAGCCATGAAGATTGCCTTTTTCAAAGATCTAAAAACCTCAGGCATGCTCACAACTATTGTAAAGCACAACAGTACTATCCAGGCTGCAGAAGGGACTGGGTATCCCCAAAAGCCTTCCCTGTTCCTCTGATTATTTAGGACCTGCCAGCTACTTTCTTAAGCACTGTTGACTTTAGGATGGATAACCAGAGATGGGCTGTTTATCTGGGGAGACAGGGAAAGAGCAGGAGGGATTTGCCTACATACAGTGCTCCTAACTTTTTTTCCACCATCTCAGCATTTGGGTGATATGGTATTTATAGACACCGCTTCAACCGAAGGGAATGATAAAAGGAAAATAAAAACATAATTCATGACTCAAAGCTAGCCTACAACCAGCCTGCACAAGCTTATGTCTAGAGCTGTGGCTAGGGGAGTGCAGAGTAGCACCTCAAGCAAAATGGCTCCTGCACCTACTGCTCCTGATTAGGAAGCAAGGACAGATCAGAGAGCCCCTAAGTGGAAATGATATATGGCTTATTATGCCTCAATATAAGGATTGTTCAGGTCTATATTCACTTAGCCTTCAGTCTTTTCCAGCAGAATAAATAAATAAATAAATAAATACGCACACACACATATATTTTCTTGGCTTTGAAAGGGACGATTGCACCAGATTTCATCACAGTCCTTCTGCGGCTTTCTTTGAAGCTGAGCAGATAAACACTCTTATCAAGGTCTACAGGGGCTCTGTCTAAACTCTTTAGACACATTTGTTCAAAATGAAAATGTGAGCTGGCAGCAAGCCAGGTTTCCCCTGTCTTCTTCCACTCACTTTCTGCCCCCCAAGACGTGCCATGGATGTGTACGTGCTGCAGATGGGCTTTTCCTCCTAGAAATTTGATCATCTCAGGAGCTGGGCTACTGTTAGAGAGCCTGGGACTTCAGCTAATCTCAGGATGGTTTTACATTTATGGCTACTATATTTATTCAAATTTTACCTTTCCTTTCCTAATTGTGTGGCAACATAAGCCTGTATGTGCCAGGGGGTGTGCATAGATTGCCTTCAGAGGCAATTTGCATAGCTTCTGTTTCCTGTCATCTGCTTTACCTGTACAGCTAGGTATAAATTCCTGCTGCAGGTTTGCTCAATTACTGTGGAAGGGTCACTGAGCAGACAGAGGCACGAAAAGTAGGCCATCAATAAAAATAATAAAAATACAGAACTTCTGATGCCCTCTGCAAATCAGTGACATTGTTCTTTTGGATGTCAAACAAGAAAGTGTTCCTGTTTAGAAGATAAGCTTAGAGAACAGCTGAAAATCAAACAGAAATTTCTTAACTACCTTCTTGTCAGCTAAAAGCATCACCAAAGCTATTGTTACCAGCATATCTAGTGAGCCCTCTGTATGCAAATAATGCATGATTTATTTCACAAACTTCCAGATAAACCCAGTGATCATTTGAATTGCCATTAGTCTGAAATATACTACAAAACTAGCAAGGGGAGTACTCAGGAAACAAAAATTCAGGGAAATATGTGTGAAATGTAATCCTGTTACCATTTGCTATGTACTGAGTGCTGGCATCATCGGTACAGGAAATGAATAAGCTACAGATCTGGAATATCCCTTGGACCTAGGAGACAAGTTGTAGACAATTTTTCATTGAGCTAACCCCATAATCTAGACAAGCTTTCAAAATGCATAGACACTGCTCTCCTTATCCTGGCAATACCGCCCACATTTTTTTCCTTGCTTCATGTTTATTATTGTGCTTAATTGGCCCAAATGATTGACATGTTTCTTCTTCAATACAAATTCTCCAGGGTTGAGGGTTGGGGCTTAGCAAGAGGATTAGAAATAGTCCTTACTTGATGTTAATGGATTCCTGTCTAGTACAAAACAAGCAAGGATGGGAACAATGATACTGCCTTTTTTTTATTTTTTCTTCAATGAATTCGTTCATGTTTTGCCTCTCCAGTCCCCCAAATTAAATATGTTCTTTATATTTCCATTTTCCATGTGGCATTAAATCATGAGCAATTAATGTTTGCAGAGATGCAGTTTATAATCAGTGGATTCATTATTTAATGGAGGACCTATTTCTTTTTTCTTCTGCTCATATCTGGGAAACCATTTTTATATTAAATTGTTACTTTCTGAAGATGCAACTGACACAAGCACGTGGAACACAAAGCACAAAGCAGATGGGGTTGTCACCTGTGAAGAGATTGAGAACAAGTTTTATTTCCCTCAAGAAAGCCTCTGTCTGTGTGCCACTATCATGAAAATGTCCATTTTCTGGCTCAAAGCTTAAGCCAAGGGAGCTTGCTGCCAAGTGATTACCTGCCTGTTTTGGCATTCACTGCTTGCTTTCTGTCTCAGAGCCATACATTCCTGGAGATGGGACAGAAAGTTTGCAGACTGGGATTATTTAGGTGTGGCTGACAAAATCAACACAGTGGTGGTTCTTCAAATTTCCATTAATTCATCTTAGCAATTAGAGCTACACCATGATCTGAATTCTTAAAGAAAAACAGTTCCAATGGCACTTTGTGGTAAAGTTGTAGCACTAAATGGACAGATGGCAAAAGTCACCCTTGAGCAGAGGGCAGATGAAAGACCTAACTCCACAGGACTTGAAATATAGAATTGAACGAAACCAAAGATAATTGTACCAGGTACAATTATCAATAAAACCACTTTCTTTGTACTGAGTATGTTTCTCATGCCCACTGCAGTTGTATATAGGTTTAAGCATATGGAAATGAAGGTCTCCAGTTTAAGAGCTGCTTCTCTTCTGAGATCTCACAATGTCTTCAAGCTGTCTGTTTCTCATCAGATTTATGAATCCTTCTCTTGAGTATCAACTTCAAATTAAATTCTTCTCGGTCATCATGTGTCTTCACACAACATGTACCAAGCAGCGAGGTGCTCAGGGGAGCTCACTTTTATTCTTGTTTAGTGGCACTTTCCCAGTGCAGAGGCTTCAGATCACTTGGAATGCAGCTTGAAGACTTCAGTCCTTTTTCTCTGAGGTCCAGAGAGGTAAAGTCACCTACATGGAAGGTCTCTTCCCACTGCCCCTTCCCTTTGGTGCTTCTGTCTTGGCTGTCACAGAGCTCTCAGACAATAATCAGAGCCTCCAGCTACCTCGCTCTGCAGTGCAAATACCCAGCTACAGATAAAAGCTTTGACTTTTGCATTCAGAGCCTCAGGTGGTTATGCAGTAATAGTAGCTTTTAAGGAAAGGTAAACTATAGATAGGCTGAGCCCTGTCCCCACTCCATGGGTGAGCTGCAGCCTGAGAGCTCCGTGATATGAGTGAGCATCATCCCTGGGTGTTACCTGAAGGAGGAAGATTTGGCTAATGAAATCCAGAGCATCCCCACCCTTTGCTGTAGTTTTGTTCTCTGCAGGTTTTTTTTTCTCTGTGTTGTCATGAAAATCAGTCACAGAGGCTACATTACAGAGACAGAACATTAGGGCAGCCGGACGTTTAATCTGACTCAGGATGGCATATATTTACTCTCTCTTCTTGTTTAAACTGTGCTGCATCACTTGTGATGAATAGCTTTAATGGCCGATTTTCCAAACTCTGCAGATTAACTATACTGCTGGGTGTTAGTGTTCTAGGAAGGTAGGGTAAGGATTATTGGAACTTTAGAGAGTTAAAGAGGAGATTAAGTGTAACTCACACTGAAGGTATAATAGACAAAGAAGAAACAAGTTAAAGGACATTTGTTGGATTTTTTTTTTTTCATTTTAAGAAGGGGGAGGACTTCAAAGAATGCACCTTATGATTATAACTTTTACATCTTATTGACAGCAAGATTAGAAATGCTCAGGAAAACTCCTGAGACCTGAACTGTAAAAAATACAGCAGCAAATGTTACTAACAGGCCTCTCAGTTCTTGATCATTTTAATATTTTTTTCTTGTGACTGAGCCTTTGTGTCACTTGATATGTCACACCTGACTTGCATTTAGTTTTGCTGTGGACTGTATATTAATGTTGAAGTTGCAAGCAGGGAGAATAGAGGTAGAGATGAATGTGAACAGCCAGGAGTCCTAGGCTTTGAAATGACCCTCCCAAGAGTTTTAAGTGAAAACACATGTAGATCTTTAAAAACTGTAAATAAATCCTTCATGATTGTTCTAGAATTCTTACCCTTTTTGTTCAGGTTTGTTTCTAGCCAAGAAACTGTCTACATTCTTAGTCTAAACATATCCCCCTTGTCTTTAATTTTTCATAATTAAATACACTTTCCATAGTGTGTAATCCAACTGGGGCAGGTCCACATGATTGTCTTTCCATGTTGTTGTAAATCGAGGCCCTCCCTGCAGAAAGAGGGAAGAAATCTGCAAGTCTGCCCAAGCAAAACACGAAACAAAACAAGACCCAAAACAGATTTAAATGTCTCCACATTTTGCCTATGACTTCTTAGTCTCCACAGCACTTGACTGAAACAACAAGCAAGGGCAGGCACTTTTGGTGCCTTCACTGTGGTTCTGCATGTGTTTGGAGAAGTGCATTGTTTGATGATCATGACTAGCCCTGTGGTCTTTAAAGCACAGCTTTCTGCATTTAGAGACAGGTGGCAGCGCTTAAATATCTTCCCAAAGAAGAACAAGTGATCCTCATATTTAACTTCAGCATTTTCCATGTGATGTCAGCAGTGATGTGGCTTTCTTTTACCATTTACTGGCAGCCTGCATATGTCAGAATTTCATAGTAGTCTGTGACAGAGATATCCAAATTACCAAGGCATTTCCTGTAACTCAGGAACAGATGAACAATGATTCTCCCAGGCTGAGGTTAAGGGGCAATAGGATGAGATATGTTCATTCATCTGCTGTAAAGAACTGACTTTGCTCATTGACCACTGCTATATTTGAATCTGAATAGAGTCCTGGATAAGGTTTGAAAACGTTGTACAACAGAGATTCTTAAAATTTCCCAGTTGCCAAAGATAACTGGGATTTGCAGTTAGATAACCTCAGTATTTGTAATATTCAAGGTATTTCCTGTAGTAAGCACAGAAAAGCACAAATGAATGCTAAAACCTCTGAGATAGCTGTATCTGATTATCTTAGGTAAAATAGAGAAGTTTTCAAGGCCACTTCTCATTGTGCCTCTTTGCTTCTGTTTACCTAAACACAGAAGTATGAAAATAGAGATTGGCACTGAGAACAGACGTTTGTGGCATTTCAGGTTTGACTGAAAGTAGGATCACTTCTGTCAACTTTGCCGTACAAGGACACACTGAGAAAGCTGGGCCTGTTTAGCGTGGAAAAGAGAAGACTGAGGGGAGACCTCACCACTGTGTATAAATATCTGAGGGGGAGGGTGCTGAGAGGATGGAGCCAGTCTCTTTTCAGATGTGCCCAGCGACAGGACACCAGGCACAAACCAAAGCACAGGAGGTTCTGGCTCAATCTGAGGGGGCACTTCTTTGCTGTGAGAGTGACAGAGAACTGAGGCAGGTTGCTCAGAGAGGTTGTGGAGTCTCCTTCTCTGGAGGTATTCAAAACCAGCCTGCATGCAACGTGCTGTAGGTGATCCTGCTCAGCTGAGGACTTGGACTGGGTGATCTTCAGAAGTCCCTTCCAACCTTAGCCATTCTGTGATTCTGTGATAATTTTTTTCAGAGAAATTTCAGAATTAGGTGTTTGTATTAATTTCAAAAGTCTAATTGGTTCAAAGAGAACCCTTATCTTGGATTTATATATCTTCAGTTGAACAGATTCTTAATTTTGCTTTTAGACTTCTTAGCTCACCCTCTTTTAAGCTTAATTTATTTGCTGACTTAGAAGATGGTCTTGTGAGGAGACCTGGGACCCATTCCCAATAGTTATCCATTTCAGGTGCTCCTTCTTCAGAATCACTAATACTTACAGGTTCTTAATCCCCCACCCCCCCCCCCCCCCCCCCCCCCCCCAAGAAAAACAATGCCAGTCAATGCTCTGTGACTAGACAATGCTAAAAAAACAACAGGCATGCTTCCAGGGGCATGTCACAAGGAAGGAACAAGGGGCTCTTCTCAGGAACTCAGCAGACTCAGGAGAGACAGATTCAAACTTGGCCAAAGCATGCTGCTTCACCTCTTTCACTTCCCTAGGACAACAAAAACAGCAGGTCTTCATGTATATTTGCTACATACTTTGACAGAGCCTGCTGATCCTTGCTACATGCCTGAAGTACCCTTTGACCAATGTCATAGTCATTGAAGCATGTAAATATGGATCCCACAAATGAACACCACTGGCCTTTTGAGATTATTTTATTATTCATTTCTTTTACCACTTTAACAGCTTGCACTGTCTTGTCTGCCTTACCTCGATTCTTGGGTTTACACCTGCAGAGTTAAAGAGAGAAATTTTCCTGTTTCCATTTCTCAGCTGCTTGTCCTATCCCACTGTAACTTTACTGTGATTTAAGTTTTCTGGTGCTCTGTTTCTCTGCAAGCTGCATGGCATACAGCTGCACAGTGTGTTTCTAATATTTACCAGGCATTTCTTCAGAATGAAGGAATTTACCTTCTGAACTTTGGGTTACTTATATTCTTGCTTGCATCTCATACATATTTTATTGTTTTCTTGGGAAAAAAGGAAAAGCATCCATAATGTATGGTGCAGTATACTGTAGATAAACATCCAGCATTATCAGAGATTAAATTATACAATAGTTTAATATAAAAAAGAACTTTTAACCAGAAAATTTACCATCCATCTTGATATCAACGTACAACTGCAGATGTTATGTTAGTCCTGTTAGCAACATTAACAACCAGCAAAGTAGAGGTCATCTCTCTCTCACACTTTTCAGACTAAAGACCATATTTGAGATATAGCTTATATTTGATGTCCCTGTTTGCCTTGCGCTTTTAAAATTTTCAGTGCAAACACAAGTTACAATAAGTGTTTTTCTCTACACGCAGCTCCCCTTTTTACCCGAACATGCTGCTAAGAAACCAAACAGACACTCCTTGCTCCATGAAAGGTGAAAAGGCTTCTCAAGTAGCCTGTGGTTGTGCGAGAGCAAACAGAAATGACTCACCAGCTGGTGTGGGTGTGCTGTAAGCAAGGGGATGTAATCCCACTTTGACATCAGGTGATGGATTTGAGACAGCAGACCTTTCTAGATTCCCCAGGTCATCTTACAAACTGGCAGGGTGGTTTCCACCCCTGGCTGTGCAGGTTAGGCAAGCACTTAAGTGTACTGAAGCCCAGGTGGGGGGCTGCTTAGATCCCAGCACTGATCTGGCTTCCTTTCACCAGCGGCTTCTAAACTGAGCACAGCTTCCAATGTGGGAAGTCCCCAGAGTGCTGAATGACAGAAATGGGAAGTTAATGGCAGAGGAAGGAACACTCTGTCTTGCTCTGCTTCTCGTGTTTTTGATTAACTGTGTCTACTGTCAAAGACCTGATGCAGGGCAGGAGCCAGTATGCCATTCCTATAACCCAGTAATCAAAACTACATGAACCAGGTTATTTACTCAGCCACAATAGCCCTCTTGGCCACTGTAACTCTAGTTTTACCAGGGTAGGAAGAAAGAGTAAAAAATCAGGTCCTGCAACCAATATTTAACTTGGTTTTCTGAGCCGAAAAGACAATAAGCAAAACCACAGCTGACGAGAGGGTGGAGAACAAACAGAAACAGAACTAATGGACATGAATAGAATATTGTCTAGTCAGTGTTTCTCTTGGCAGGTGTTGGGTGTTCCTGGTTTTCATTCTGATGTACAAACAGAAAACATACCACCTCCAGCTCCACAGTTCCCCCATGCAGCGTCCTGATCCCATGAAGGATGAGGTTCTTCAGGACAGATCATGGCTCTTTCAGTGCAATATGAGTGGGGACTGCAGGTGGCTTCTAAGAGGAAAGCAATGTCATGAGCCCATTCTTATGAACATAATGTTCGGGTCAGTATTAAAGAGCATTTAAAGGGGGAGTCCTGAGGTCAACATTCAAGAAAGTGGATGTTGACGTTGACAGGCAGTACTTGCTTTCCATCCCAGGAGGAAATGTGGAAAGGATAAAAATCACTGAGTGAAAAAAAAAAAAAAAAAAAAGAGAGAGAGAGAGAGAGAGAGAGAGAGAAATGTAGCAGAAGAACATAAAAAGAAAACTCAAACAACAATGTAACAAACACAACCAGAGGGGCTCTGAGATCTATAGAGGGCCGAGAGAGAGAAAACAGAGAGAGAGAGAGAGTTTTCTTCATAAAGGAAATTAATCCATCTCAAAGTTTTACAAAAAAAATGTTTCATTTCAGAAAAAGGACCCATAAATTCCAAAAGAATGACACAAGTTTTCTCTCCTTTTTGCTTCATTTACTAGAGGTAGCTTTCTTTGTACTTTCATTTACCTGTATCTTGTCATTTCAAACCCAATTTACTGGATTAACCTTGTCACTCATCTAGCAAGGTTCAAGACAAAGATAAGCCCCAGAAAGGGATTTCCATGAAAAATAAGTCTTCTGCCTCCAGAGCCTCCCCCAGTTTGCACTTAGCCATGAAGACTCTATATCAGCTGACCTGGAGGACATACTGGCTTGATGCCTGGGTATAACTCACACATTTCTGAGTGCTGTCCAAAGGAGTCTGACAGCAAGCAAAACATATGGAAGCCTTTTCCTTCTTAACATTGGGGCCTGAATACTGAAACAAGAGGCCCAGCAAACACCAATACAGTACATCTTCAGATGAGTGAGGGAAGTCAAGTAGACTCTGGTTATGTCTGGGAACAGCCATGGTAGCCGTAACATAAAGAGTGAGCATCAGGAACTTTGTATGCATGCAAAATTTTGCTGGTATCAGGCTGGTTTGTACACTCAGAAAGGCAATTTGATGAAATTAAGGTGTCTGAGAGTCACTGCCAGCTAATTTGAGCCTTGCTTGTGCTAGAAAAGTGGAAAAAGGTTTCACATGGTGAACTAGAGATGTTTCACCTAGATCTGTTGTGAGTTCCGGTGACTGGCAACCCAAAGCTGTGGCACAAACCAAAGTAAAATAGAATGGTCATTGAATAAAGAGCTCTCACAAAGATCTTCAATAGCAATTCACAGTTGTAGTGGTGCATGAATTACATTTTTCAGCATCCAAATAATCCCTGAGCATCCTTGGGTATATTATCAAGTCTGGACGCAGCACCTTACAGATGCTGGTCTTGGAGAACCAGTGTTATGGGCCTCTGTTCTGGCTGCAGATGGTCTGGTTAAGATGGTGTCTGTTTAAAATTGCTAAATCTTGGAATGGGGAGGAGGAGCAGTGACCTGCAGTTCTGACCAGCTCCAGAATTCAGAAATACTGAATAACACTTTTCCTTCCTAGCACTCTCTCCTTCCCTCAATCAATCACAGAATTGACTTAACACCATGAAAGCAGACAATTTCATTTTACAGTCTTTTATATGTCTTCTGGTGCTGGAGCATTTAGGACTTTCATTTCCAGGCACTGTGGGCGAGAAACATACTCCTTTAAAAATAAAGTGAGATTTTCAGGCAGTAATCTCTATGCAGCAGCTATGGCTTTCAGAGAAAAAAAAAATGTTCAGACTAAAACTGCAAAGCCTGTGACTGCTCATAAACTCTCTGTCTGCACTGGGCCTCATACAAAAGAGCCCCAATCTGGCTGAGACCCCAAGACATTCCTGAATTTTAAGTGATAATATGATAAAGATATAATATAATGGTCTTCTGCCTCGCTCAAGACAACCCTGCATGAGCACAGTTACCTAGATAAAGAAATCTGTGTTTAAAAACAACAAGAAAAGGCAGTGACTCTCCTGTATGCTAGCTGCTGACTGGCATTTTTCCAGACTCTCTAACTTCACTGGTTAAGAAGAGAGCAATAAATGGGAGATATTTAAGATTTTAATTTCTGCTAAAACCTGACCATGTGGGAGATGGTCCTATTTTTTCCATGATATATTCCTTTTATGTGAGAGAGAAAGCTCTAGTTAGTGCTGGAATCTCTGCAAGATGAGTGTTCACTGGTGAGCAATTCATATTTGCAATATCTGCATGATATAAAAATACTATTAAAAATATACCTCCTTAAAAAGAGCAATTGCCAAATGCTGTCTTCCACATTGCCTTTGGGTCTAGCAACTTTATTTAGTTTTTGTAAATGTTATTTAGCATTTGGCCTGCACTGCTGCCACAATTCCATTTGGCTGTCATGGTTACTTTAGGTGATGCTAGCCTGAGTTGTCCCATTACAGATACTCTTTTGAAGGTACACCTTGGCCCACATGGCAGGAGAGAGCAGAGCAGAGCATGCAGATAGCTTATTGCAAATTAAGGATTATCACCAGTACAGAAGCCAAGAAAAAAACTCCTAAAAGAAATATTTCCTGATGCCATCTGCAAAGCAATAGTATCTCCAAGGCTTCCTTTCCCTCTAGAGTGGGGAAACCAAACCTGAAGAAGACCTAGGAACCCCTCTGGTTTATACAGCACTTTCTTTTTTTACTCTGGGCAGGTAAAACAGCATTTCAAGCTCAAGATAGATACAAGAGACTACTTCTAGTAAGGGAGTTAATAGCAGCAGTATCTAGCTGTGTGAAAGAGAAAGGCAATAAATAATGAAGTGCTGATTGACTGAGTGTTCTGCTTTTAGGCTATATCATTTTAAAAATATCCAGATTTGGTCAAAGTTTTTCATCATCCAAATCCTTGCTAGTGAGGGACAGAACCTAATGACCAACTGGCTTTTGTTGGTGCACACGTACTTCACAAAGCCTCCCAGTAACACTCAGTGAAAGGCTGATGGGGAAAGAAAATGAAGGAATCTATTTATTTATTTATTTATTTTTCTTTAAGACAAAAGTAGTGTTGATGTGCAGTAGGCATCAAAACTGTTTCTCTTGAAAACATGCCTGGACTCTGTGTGTGTGTGTGGACACAGTGTTCTTCAGTCATGGCTGTTCAGAGTGAATGAGAGATGCACAGTATTAGTGGAAATGTTCAGCATCTTTTTCTTGATTGGGCCCTTTGTGAGAAAAAGGGACAGAAAGGGAAGAGAGGAAACGGGTTCAGGTGGTAAAATCCCTTTGGCATCTTCCTTCATACTTAATTTTGCTTTCATGTTTCTTGTTCCTAGTAAAAGTGAAAGCAAGCTGGCTGGAGGAAAAAAAAAAATCAAAAACAAGAATCACAGAATCACAAAACTAGACCCAGCACTCCAAGTGTGGTCTCAACACCACTGACTGGAGTGGAAGGATTGCATGCCTTTACCTGTGGACAACTCTCCTTCTAATGCAGCCCAGGACACTGCCAGCCTTCTCTGCTGCTATGGCACACTGCTGTCTGATGTTCAACTTGGTGTCCACCAGCATCCCCAGGTCCTTTTCTGCAAAGCTGGAAATAGCTTATCATTCTAGAAATGTCAGCCTCTCCTCAGAAGAGGGATTTGTGTGGGCACAAATAATTGCACAATAAAGACCGAACCAACATTCTTTGCAAAGAGGCCTTTAACCATATGTCCATTACAGCTCTGTCTTTGTTTTGGTTTCCCTATATAACCACTTGGGTAAAACAGACAGTGCAATTGCTACACTGGCTCTCAGAGCACAATATTTAGCTATTGATGCTAAAAGTCTTGCCTGGTTTTCTTCAGAACTACTGAACTGATAAAGCCAGGCTAAAAGGTCTCACTGCCTCTTCTAAGAGTGTTCACATGTGTGAGTGTGCACGTGTGTGTTTTACAGCCAGCAGTTTTCTGCAGCATCTCTTGTTTACTTTGTGATGGGCAGTAGGCCAGGAAGACTGTCTGCCTCCAATCTAAATGAGCTTATGACTTTACAGAACATTTTTCACTGACATTTTGGGGATGAGATATGTGGACAGGCTATCTGTGCAACTCTAGAGACATCTAGAGAAGTGAAGACTTGGACAGCTCTGAGCGCCTGCATATGCTGTGCTGTGTGTCATATATACAGGATTGATTATTCTCCTTTTACTGCATTAAAGCAGTGTGACCAGCTTGCCAGGACAATGTTAAGAACATTTGCATGTTCCTTTGAAAGGAGCCTGAAGCTATCCTATGGCCTGTTGCACCAATTCCCTAAATGTATGTTTTAATTTATGATGTTGTCCACAGGTCCTGACAGCAGGACTAGCAGACTGCATCACTAAATTAAACAATGGCCTGTTCCCTACCAGGCAAATTGATGAATGAGAGATAAGGGCATAGAAGAGTAAAAGAACATAGGAATCTAGCTGTCTATCCTTTGCTATTTTTTTCATCACAGGTAGGTCCCCTGTACAGAAATTTTATTTTAACATGGAATCCACTTCAGC